ACTGAAGGAGTGGTGTACCCTAGGCCTCAGCTGCCTCTGCAGGTCCTAAGCTCCATTGTCTATAGAACTCCACTGACAGTCTAAAAGGACCTGATTCCTCATTCTTCAATCCCATGAACTGTCCCAGGATTCATTCATCTCCTTTTTTTGAACTAAAGCCATTTTGAGATAAGTTTTTGCCATTTGTTTCTGAAAAAGTCATGCCCCCTGGAACAAGTCCTAACCAAGATAAGGTTTGTGCTGGACACAGACAGCGTTGAGTAGAAACCAGTTTCATAACTAATCCTGTAGGAGGGGGCTTAAAAAAGAACATGGAAAACATGGAATTAAAAGATAGCAGAATTTTTCTACGAACTTTTTGAAGCGCCCTTGGATACTTGGACACAGTTCCTTTCTTCTGGGCTGCAATGGACAGTTTGCAGAGCATGTTCTCAAGGATCACCCTGCCCCTTAGACACCCTTCAAACTTGGAACTAAACCTACCCCTGGGGATCACCTTTCGCCAAACAACAGCCAGGTCTATAAAGTGAACAATAACACTTGTGAGTAACGTACTCCTCAGAACAATTAACCATAGAAGACCAAAAGGGCAGCATTCACCCCCAAACAAAGCTCAGAAGCCAAGAAGGGGCTGGAAGGAAGGACAAATGGATACTGAGACCCCAGGGAGGAAGTGAAAAGATTACTGTTACATTGAGGGACTTCTAACTAATGTTACGAAACAAAACATATAAATTGTTGAAGGGAAACTCTGTAAACTTAATCTCAGACCATCATTTTTAAAAAAGTTTCACCTGGCTCACTGGTGGTAAGACCCTGCTTCTGGGGACATGGGAAACTGCAGAGGTACCTCAAAGACCAATCCAAGAGCAAAGGGCAACCAAAGAGCAGGATTCTGGGTGAACTGCCCCTAATTCAGCCTGAGAAGTTGTGGTATAAAAAATGTCTACACACTGGGGTTTTGTTGTTCAAAAATATTTGAAATTTTCTGTCCTTATGGACACTCAGAAGCACACTAAGGGCGGATGTGTACTAGGGTTAAGTAAAAATTTAAAAAAAAGACAATATTGCTACAAAATCATAAAAACTTGTATTAAATAAAAATGTGAAACTGTTGTTTCTTGATATAGCCTCTACCTAGGTCAAGGAGCTCTGGTAGCGTAGTGGTTACGAATCAGGCTGTGAACCTCACGGTTAGCAGTTCGAAACTACCAGCTGTTCCGCGGGAGAAAAATGAGGCTTTCTGCTCCCGTAAAGATTTACAGCCTCAGAAACCCTGTACAGGGTCGCTATGAGTCGGAACCGACTCCACGGCCCATAACAACAACAACAGGTCATGGGTGGGAAACCTTTTTTCTGCCAAAATTTATAACATCATACATGGGCCCATACAAAATTATCAACTTAAAAATTAGCCTGCTACACTTGGTCAAACATTTAATTAACACATCCCTAATGTGATATCTAAGGAGCTCTGGCAGCGTAGTGGTTACAAGTCGGGCTGTGAACCGCAAGGTCAACAGTTCGAAACTACCAGCTGTTCCGCGGAAGATGAGGCTTCCTGCTCCCATAAAGATTTACAGCCTTGGGAACCCTGTGCAGGGTCGCTATGAGTTGGAACCGACTCCACGGCACATCACAACAACAACAACAATGTGATATCTGGGAGACCTGGTGTGGTGCTGTGAGTTAATGCGCTAGACTGCAAAGATCAGTGGTTCAAGCTCACCAGTTGCTCCTCGGAAATCCTAAACACAGTCACTATAGGTCAGAACTGACTCAACAGTACTTAACAACAACAAATGTGATAGTTGGAATTCTGGTTGCCTTGGCAGGGCCAGACTAAATGATTTTGAAGGCCTTCTACGACCCATGGACTGGATGTTCCCCATCCCTGATCTAGGTCTACACGCTTCTGAATACAGTGTTTCCACCTCTCTAACCTTCCGTCAAAGAATTCTGTGCTGTTCAATTTATAACACATCAAAACAGCAATTTTAGCATCCTCAAAGGACTCAAATCATTTTCCTTTAAAATGTTCTTTGAGTTTGGGGAACAACAAAAAAAATGTGAAAGGGTAAGATCAAGACTGTAGGATGGATGTGGTAAGGTCTCCCAATGAAATTTGTGTAGGACATCCCATACTACTCTTCAAGAATGAGCAGAGTGTATTGTCATGATGGGAAGAAATTACTCAGCACAACTTTCCTGGCCTTTTCACACCAATGCAGTTTTCAATTTTCTTTAATGCTCTTTCTTATAATAAGCGTCTATGATTGTCCTCATTGTCCTGAGGAGCATGGTGGCTCCTAGGATAAGCATTGGACTATGAACCACAAGGTCGATGGTTCCCGCCCACTAGCCACTCCATGGGACAAAGAGGAGGCTTTCTGCTCCCACAAAGATGTACAGCCTTGGAAACCCTATTCAGGGTCACTGTCAGTAGAGACTGACTCCATGGCACTTAGCGATAACAACAACAATGACTGTGCTGTTTCCTTCAAGAAAAGCTACCAAGATTATCCCTTTGGGATTTCAGAAAACAGTCGCCATAGCCTTCTGAGCTGACCTCTCTGCCTTGAACTTAACTGGCCCAGCAGATCCCCTCAGACCCCAGATTGGACCTTCTTCTCAGGATCGTACGGGTAAATCTAAGACTTGTATGCAACTACAATTTTTTCTTAAAATTGTCTTCATAAATTTCAATCTTGCTTAAAAGAATGATAGAAAGATCAGCTCTTAGAGCTGGCTGATCTTCAGGCAAACGCTTTTGGCATCCATCGAGCTGAAAGATTGCCGAGGCCAACATATTCACTTAAAATTGAAAATGTCAAACGATGTGAGATCCCGACTTGAGTAGCTATCGCCTAAATGATAATTCTAGTTTTCTCCCACCAGCTTCTGGGCTTCAGTCACAGTTTCTTCATGCACCAGGATGATGGTCTTTCCTCTCCTGGCTTATCTTTAAGGTCTTCCTGACCTTCCTCCAAATGCCTGATCATCCAAAAACTGCTGTTTTACATAGGGCAACATTATCATAAACTTGTTGCAACATTTCAATGATTTGGAAAGATACCCACTGAGTTTTGTTAAAAAAAAACCTATTTTTTTCCATGACACCAAAAATAGTTTCTTTTTGTGTGTGTGAAGGTACCCAAATGAAACTAAGATAAGTGTGTTACTGAGAGACTTGGTCTGCAGACATCCACTGATTGCAGGGACAATTTAAACATGTTTTATTTGGAATTATCCCATGTGTGTATGAACTGAAATCTGACTATCAATACTTTTTTGACTTACCTGCATATTCCCATTCTACAGAAGAGGAAATCACCACCCAGAAAGGGGAAGTGGTGAAGCCAAAGCAAATTAAGTATCAGCAAGAACTTGAATGCTGGGCTCTGAAGTTACAGGTTAGAGCATCCACTCACCAACTGACTTTCACTGCACCAGGTTACCTGTGACAAACTATCATCATGCCCAATGTCCACCAGTGAACTGATGGTAGCAAAAGCCTAGAGTCTCACCTTGCTAGGTTCTGACCCCTACAATGCCATTTGCCTCTGAGCTTAGAGGGCTTCAGAAAGCTTCAAGAACTTGTGGAATAAATATATGACCCAATCTCTACTTCCCCAATCATATACTGAATTCCTGTCTTCTCACTTGCTTGCCCAAATGTCAGGGAAAGGGCAGGCAGGCTCCCTCATGGGAACTCCTAATCCACCTCCTCTGTCCTAGCTGGGCTTTGGCTGTGGACAGAGGATTCCTTGTTCCCAGCGCTTCCTGCCCAGAGATCTCCGTGGGGCCCATGTGCTGGCAGTAAGGAGCCAAATCGCTCTCTTTAACTGAAGCTAAAGTCACACACCCCCACCACACACACACACCTGTGCCATCCCCAGAAGCTGCATGCTCTCAACTCTGTTCCTCATTGAGTGTACTAGCCCCAGTCTGACTCAGCCATCTCTGCACATACAACACACTGCAAAGCAAAGTTCCTGCCCCTATGCACACACACACATATCACACACAACACATTAACACACACTACAAAACAAAGAGGTCCACTAGAAAAGCATTTAAGCAAAAATTAAAACCCAAGGATGTTAGAATGACATCTCAGCTCTGGCAATTGTGCTTTGCTAATAACACCACAGTGATATTTGCATATTACTTGTTGATTGCCCAATCAGCATAACTTCATTGGTTCAGTCTGCCCTCTACACCCTTACCCTACCAGATTCACAGAATCACAGAGTGGAATTGAGTTGTGAAATTCCCTGGACCAGTCAGTGGTCTGTAAAGTATTTTTGCACAGAGTTAAGGAAGGCTCTGGGGAGACTTCTAGGAATGCTGAAGAATTGGTGGATTAGGGTCATCCAGCACCCCCATCAACTTGAAACAGGGCTGAAACTCCTTTAGTTGTTTTGTACACTGAGATTCTTTAGGGTTCATTTGAAAAAAGGATTTCCCTGCTGGAAAATTTGAAAACAACTCATTCAGTCTGATCCTACTTTCCCCACCCCCTGACCTGATAAAGCATATGTAAGAAAACTAAGGTCAACTGAAAGGAAAGCAGTTGCCCAAGGTCACATAGTAGTCAGCGGTAGAGCCAGAAGGAAACACCTTCTCCTGAAGCTAGTCTACAACCTAGGAGTTATTGAGCAAAACAAGGGCTACAAGGCTAGTAATTAAACGTCTAGGCCCAACCCCACCCCATCACTCTATGGCATAGGTAAGCAATGTAGCCAAAGCATGTTAGTCTCATACAATGGGTTACTTTACAAATGTGCATTTCAGTTCCTACCTCAAAGCAAGTCAAACCAGGAAGGGCCCTCAGCGCTGAACCCCTTCTTTCAAATCCACTAGAAACCTGTAGTCTGTACAAACCCTCATGCTTCCCAAACAGTAAAATAGATTCAAAGACAGAAACTGAGGGCCTGGAAGACCATTCTGTCCAGACTCAGCAGAAGTAAACAAGGCTGAGCCTTTGTAACACTCACCTCTCCTCTATCCACACCAGCTCCCTGGGGGTAAGGATGTCTGTCAGGCACCTAGAAGGAGGAAACGGTGTTAGCTCCTCAAAACACAATTTCATGGACCTAGCATAGAGCTGGAAATTGAGAGGCTGACATTTGACTCTCTGAGGAACTTGGGGAAGTTGCTGAACCTGTTATACAGAAAGACCTGTGTGACTGTACACAGAGAGCAAAGAGGAAAGTCACTAACATAAAGCTGAAGGAGCCAGGCTATACAGGGCCTTGGAGTCCAAGGTAAAGAGTCTTTATTCAATAGCAATGAGAAACCATGGATTTGCAGACAGAGAATGAACTGAAAGGGGGCAAAAATAGCTTTAGGAATACCAGTTAGGAAGGAGCTCACTGTGATTATTCAGGGCAGATACGGCAATAGCCATTCAGTAACACAGAGTTACTGTAGTGGAGAAAGAAAAATCTATTCTAAAAAAATATCATGAACTATTTCAGAGGTGGTGCAGTGGGTTAATACGCTAGACTGCAAAGTCAGTTTGCACTACAAGGTTGGTGGTTCAAGCTCACCAGTCGCTCCTTGGAAATCCTCTAAAGGGTCGCTATGGGTTGGAACCGACTCGACGGTATTTAACAACAACATTTCAGAGGTGGTATCCACAGAATATGGTGGTGGGCTAGATTGGGATTGATGTAAGGAAGAACAGGGGCCTATTTACCCCTCAGGCCCTCCCAAGTCAGTCCAGGGGCCTCTAGCACCCAGGAAAAAAAGATATCCATTTCTCTCTTGACATGGCTCAGCCTTGCCTCAGTCTCCCTATCTATGAAATAAATAAGATTAGATTCAGTGGTCCCTAAGGTTTTTACTGTTGTTTTGTTGTTTGTAGCATTTGTTATGTGCTAGTCTCTTTAAGGCCCAATTGCAGGCCCAGCCTAGTATATAATGGGGCAGTATAGCTGAGGACTCCTGGACTCACACTCTGAACAGTAATCTCTGAGTGGATGAAAGTGTTTCTGCTGACTAAGGAACCCAAGAATGCAGTGAATAAGAAGGTCACTGTGGATTGGAGTTGGAGCAGCAGGAGCAGAAGCCGTGCAGCCTAATATCCTCTCTCTCTCTCTGCTCTAGCTCCAGAGGCTGGCAATGGCCTTGGACACTACTCCTCCAGCTCTAACATCAGTTACCTGGCAGGTTATATAGCCTGCCTCCCATTCACTGGGAGGCCAGGGAAGTGAGAATGCCGGGAAGACAGTGTAGCATCATGGTGATGAACTTGTACGCAAGAGTCACAGACAGCTGGTTTGAATTCGGGCTTCACTACTTTCTAGCTATGTGGCCTGGGGCAAGTCACTTTACTTTTCTGTTTTCTCACTTGGAAAATAAGAATAATAAATCTGCTTTCAGGGCTAATGAGAGGATAAAATGACAGGACACGTGTCAATACTATCACAGTGCCTTGTTACAGTAACCCAAGAGGTAGGAGCTTCTGTTTACAGATACAGAAACTGGATCCAGAAAGTGGTACAAATCACCAAAGACTACCACCATGAGTAGCAGCGCTAGACCCCTGCACTGGCAGCTGGACACTAGAGCATGAGTTCTTAACCACTAGGCTGTAGGCACATCATTTTGGTTCTTCCTTTTAAGATAAAGAAATTAAGGGCTGAAAATTGATAAATGCCTAAAGTCACAGAGAGAATCAATGGTAGAAGAGGGATTTGAACACAGGTGTCTTTGATTAAAAAAAAAAAAAGCCTGTAATTTCTCACATGTTGCTTTTAAGTGCTGTCGAGTCAGTTCCAACTCATAGCAACCCTGTATAGGATTTCTAAAGAGCATCTGCTAGGTTTGAACCACAGACCTTGCAGTCAGCAGTCCAGTGCTTATCCTACAGTGCCACAACAGGACTCCAATGGTTGACTCCTTGGACATCCAGAAAGTGCAGCGCATGCAGGAGCTTCAGTTGCAGGGCCCTTAAGCCTGCAACAGGGACAAATGCAAATCTGGGTAGATGGGCCCACTGGTGGTTAGTAAAGAAACCTTGAGGGGAAACCAGAGAGAGCTGGCGAAACAAAAGCCTCTTTTTCAGAAGCCCTCTCCTGGGACTCAGCATCCATTCTGCCAGGGCTGAACTGACAGTTGGAATAAAACAAACAAAAACAGTTCCAGCTTGGTCACCAACTTGCTGTCCCACACACATATACACATACACACTCAGGTCTCTTGTTTCTTCAACTCAAGAATGAAACGCTTGTACTGAATGGTGTCTAGATTCCTTCCAGTTATATGAGACTAATAATGAACGGCATTTCCTCATAAGTTCCGGATCCTGGCCAGTTCCTGCTATTACCAGCCCAAAGGTCGCCTCTGAATGCTGGCTCCGTATTGATGCAATAGAGTAGTGAAGTCCTGCATTCAAGTTCTGAATGCATGGTCAGATTGATTTTCTTCAACAAGCCTCAGTTTCCTCACATGTAAAATGGGACTTATCTTTGCCTGGTCATCGGATTCAAGGAACTATGCCAAGGGCAAGCAATCCCTAAAAATAGTAGAAAAGTTACAGTACAAAATACCTCTCAAGCCTTTATCCCAACTCCCTCCACTGAGCTCCACCTCCTTTCCCTCTGGCCCATGTCCCATTCAGACAAATGGAATGACTGAACAAAAAGTGATGGATGTGAGAGACTTCCGGTAAGATGCCAGACAAAGCAGAAACACTATACAGACCCCCTAGGACAGAACAAACAAAACAGACACAGAGGAAAATCCTGGAACTCTTAGCTTCAGAAGAAAGGTTAGTAGAGTGGATTGTGTGCTTGCTGGGAAGAGAAACAGTGCAGGGACAAGAGAGAGTGACTGACTGGTGAACCACTGGCCAGACACGAAGTGACCATCTCAAACCTTTGTAAGCAACTTTGGAAACAGAAGGTGGCCTGGCAGAGCAGAGTCACACAGGCCACTGAAAAGGTGGGATTCCTTCTTTGTTCCCCACAATCCCCTGTGACCAGAGGTACGGCCAGCTCCCACCCTCACCTACCCACAGTGCTGACCCTGCTCTCCAGGTTTTCAGAGTCCCATGATTGGGAGCCACACCAGTGTGAGGCGGGGGCCAGCTGCACTCAGCTGAGCACCTACAGAACCTATAGAGTCACCAGACCATTATTTAACCTGTCACTCTGCTCCCAGCTGCCCTGTGGTCCTAACAGACACTGAAACCAGATCCTTCAAGTGCCTCCACAAACTACTTCCAGATTGAGTGCCCTGAAAGTAGATACCACAGAGGCAGGTAGCCCATCCCTCCCACGCCCACCTTTGTGAGATTCTTGGTTTGCATGAGCTGCCCAGAGTTTTCTCCTCTCTGGGCCCAACAGCTGCACGGGTTTTGGTTTTGTTTTGTTTTGCGGTTTTTCCTTTAGCTGTTTCATTGTTTTTGTTTGTTTATTCTTTCTCCCATTCCCTTGAGTTTTACCATTTCTACTCTGCTGGTTCTTCCTTTTCTTCCTTCTCTCATTTCCCTTCTTCTTCTTTCCCACCACCCCCTCTTGTTATTTCTTGATTACTCTCTACTCTCTTTCTCTTTTCATCTTCCTCCTCCCTGATTTTTCTAAGGGTTCTTTTTATTTTTATTTCTTTTATTTTTTATTCTATAGCTTCATTTTCCAGTCCCTGTTTTCTCTTTCTAGTTATTATATTTTCTTCCAGTTCCTGCCTGTGTTTCTTTTTTCCATTATGATTTTCTCTTTTCATTGTTGGTTGCTTGCTTTTAAATTCTGTTTTGGTTCCTTGAATGTGTGGGGGTGGGGGGTGGGGGGAGAATTCTCCTCTTTTCCACCCAACAGGAGACAGCAACCATGACCATACAGCCCAGCTACAACCATACCCTCTGCTGTTCTGCCCACTGGACAAGACCCAATACCAGTTCCTCTACCACTTGATCAATGACAGACAGCAAGCAACACCAGCCAAGCCTACCCTAAACTGAAGTACACAAATGGAAAATGGAGAATGGTGCATACATTTCCATTCTCTAACCACACCCACAGGAGGCAGTTGTTGAGAGTCTAAGAACACATCAACATACAGTCATCAAATGCAAAAACACCACAGTGTTCTGAGGACAACAGGCTATTTTAGCTCACACCAAGCAGGAGAGAATGGCTCAAGCAAATGACCAAGATGCAGGTCCAAAAAACATTTCTGAGGAAGAAAAGATAATGGAACTAATTGAAAAAGGATTCAAAAGAATGATATTTAGGTACCTACAAAGGATTGGCAGAAAGCTCGAGGAAAGCAAGAAGAACATAGAAAAAAACTTAAGAATTCAGGAAAACATTACAAGAATAAACACATTTTTTTTTTAAATGCAAGTTTTAAAACAATACAAAACCTGCAATTAGAAATCCAGAAGACTAAAATTTCAGAAATGGACAATACACTGAAATGGTAAAGATGTAGATTCTTAGCAATAGGACTCAAATTGGTGATCTTAAAGATAAATTAATAATCAGAAAAAATAATGAAAAAATCCAGTGAAAAACTAAGAGTTACGTGGGACGTCATGAAGAATAACAACTTACAGGTGATCAGAATTCCAGAAGAGGAAGAGACATTAAAAAGTACAGAGAATATTGTCAAAGAGTTGCTGGAAGAAAACTTCCCTACCATCAAGAAAGACGAGAGGATAAGTATACAAGAAGTTGAACAAATCCCAATCAGGAGAGATCCCAAAAGGAAATCACCAAGACACATCATAATCAAACTTTCCAAAAACAAAGACAAGGAAAGAATTTTGAGAGCATCTCAGAAAAAACAAAAAGTCACCTACAAAGGAGAACCAATAAGACTAAACTCAGATTTCTCAGCAGAAATCATGTAAGAAGGAAATGGAAAAGCATAAACAAAACTCTAAAAGAAAGAAAAAAATTACCAACAAAGAATCATATGCCCAGCAAAGCTGTCCTTCAAATATGGTGATATTTCCAGATAAACAGAAATTAGAATTTGCAATAACAAGACCAACTTTACAAAAAAACAAAAAACAAACTGTAAAGGCTGCTCTTAATCT